GCCTTCTTGACAGAGCAACACTCCCGATCATGGTCGTCGTCGGATGGGCGGGGAACGATGTGCACGGGGACTTTGGGTACCAAGGGTGTACATGGATTCACCAATCCAATCTCACGAAGTCAGAAGCCGACCGGAAGGTCGCTGCCGAGTACGTCGACAAGCAGTACAAGAAGGTGCAGCGATCACTGGAAGGACTGGTTGAGATTTCCAAGGACCCCCGTGTCATGTCTGTGCAAGTCATCGGGAACGGTGACCATTCCGGGTACTCATTGCCGCCATCTTACAACCGTGAGATGGGCAAGCACATCAATTGGCTGGCAGAGCGTGGCATTCAATGTGTGAACTCCACTATGCTCGCTCAGGGTGGGAAATACGACAACTACCACCTGCACGACCACCAATTTAACCGGAAACTGGTTTATCGTTTCCTGAGAGGAGCCATCACCTTCCATCTCAAATACGTTGAGCTCATGTCGAAGAAGGACGATCTCAAGTATTTTGTGAAGGAGTTCATCAGCAACGAACAAGATCGTGTGGCCGCGGTCCATCTCTTCCCCACGATGGTTCAGTTTCGTTTGGCTTTGCTCGGCACTCAAGAAGTCATGGAAGCCGTCTCCACTGAGAAGAAAACGGCAACCCCTGCCCAGGTCTTTGACGAGGCAGATGAGGAGATCCTCATGTGGGTCCATGCAGGAATTCTTGAAGCCAATGAGGAAGCCACCCGGGAGGGGAGGCCGATGCCCACTGCTTTCACTGATGAAGAGATCAGCTCCATCGTCCCAATTGACCCTTCGATCGAGGACTACGAAACCGAGGAAGTCAGGGCCCGACAACACCTTCAAGAAGATTTGAATCAGGCCGTGGCTGATGGTTTCTCAACTACAACCATTGAGTCGATCGAGATCAATCCGGAGAACACCGATGTCGATGATGATGTTGAAGTTGTTCCCGAGTTTGATGAGTGGGACGTGATCCTGGATGAGAAGATCATTGTCAATCCCCATGACGAGAAGGTCAAGGAAGATGAAATCTCGGAGGAAAGAGCCAAGGAGGTTGCAGATCTCAACAAGATCATCGAGATCACATCCACTGAGGCAAAGCCTTCGGGAACGTCGGCCGATGACCCTGCTGCTGCAAAAGATGCACCCGCAAAGACTGACCAAGGAGGGGAAGACATGACTTCATCGAGGACTTCAACATGGAGTGTGGTTGGTGGTGAAGCATCCAAGCCCAGCGACATGACTTCTTCAAGGATCTCAACTTGGACTGAGGTTGGTGGATCTGAAGCCACTGCCATGGACGTTGACTCCGAGAAGAAGGAAGGTGCTGATGCTGCCCGGGAGGGTGTGCCGACTGATGCTGTAGTTCCTGAGGCTTCTGCTTCTTCCGAACAGCCTGCTGACAAGACTGCCATTGTCGACTTGACCAAGACCGAGAAGAAGGTGGAGGTTGACAAGCCAGTTGGAAAGCCGGCCGAAAAGAAAATGCCGAAGAGTGAAAAGCAAAAGGCACCAGAGTCAAAAGCGCAGCCCAGACAGAAAGCGCCGCGACTCAGTGTCGAAGCTGATGCAGCCCTTCGCAAGTTGGAAGAAGCGACGGAACGCCAAGAGGGATCAGTATGGTTGGACCCCAATGACATGATCAACAGGATTCCCAAGGAGTATTGCGGCCAAGGGCGACTGAGATTTCTTTCCACAAAGTTATCTTATGTTCTCCGAGGACACGCATTGAGCTATGGTGCTCGCAGCCCAGACATCGATCCCATGGATCTTTCGATGGATTTCGAGGCGGTGATGAAGACGATGGCCCACTACGTCTCCTACCCGAAGATCAGTGAGGTCCTGTCCATCGTGCGCAACAGTGACACCAGGCGCTTTCAGGTGAAAGTGGCTCAGCCCGATTTGCCTGATGCAACCTGGAAGGGTTTGCCATGGAAGGTTGTCGCCATCAGAGCTGTCCAGGGACACAACCGTGCAGTGGTGGAAAATGCCAAAATTTCATCGCTGGTGAAGGAAGTGTTTACTCTGGATCCAACCTTTACCAAGGCTGACCTCGACACGCCCAAGTTGCCGAGGACAAATCTTCGCCCAGACCTCGTGCCGGAGATGTTGGCTGCACTTCCAAGGGTTATCTACCATAGCTGCGACAGGCTCGCTATGGACAAGATAGTTGAACATGGTCTCATCCCAGGTGGCTGGCCCCAAAGAACAGGAAGGGCGCATAATTTCTTTATTGCGTCGCATCCATTGGATGATTCAGTCGGTGGCAGAAAGCTCGCGGGAACGCGAGCCGGGAAGCAATACTACATTGCCTTTGACGCCGAGCTCGTCGTCCAAAGCGGCTGCCGATTGTTTCGTACAGACGAAGCAATCATAAGCCCTGACTGGATCTCCAACGAGAACATCATTTGCACATATGATGCTGTCAACAGGGAGTTTGCCTGGGTGAATCGCCCCTATGAGATCACGCGTGTGGGGTACAACAACAAAATGAAGACCCACAAGGACCAGGACACTCCGAAGAGAGAAGCACTGTCAAAGAGCCCGTATGCCAACGCCAGGGACAGTTTGAAGGCCTACCTCATGAGCGGCAAGTCCATTCGACCCGGCCAGATGCAGGTGACCGACTCTCCAGAAGAGCTTCCCCCACTTCTTCGTCGACGTGAAGGAACTTCAGGACCCTTCGAGGACAGAGTGACGTTGAAGATGGCCTCCTTTGGTGCCTTGTCCAATGCTGAAACCATTCGCAAAGGCAAGGGCCGGGGAAAAGGCAAGGGAAAGGGAAGCCGCCCGGGAGGGCAGGCCCAACGCTCAACAAATGCTGAGGATTACATCTACAGCTCAAAGATTGAGATGCAACAGGTCCGATGCCACTTCTGCGGCGAACAAAACATTGAGGGCACCCACAAATGTCAGTCGTGCTTCAAATGGCTGATTGCTTGGTCGGATGGAAGAATTGCGACGGAGGTATGCCGGATGGAAATCTCGGCCAAGAAAACCAACAAGGTATTTTCTCTGGACAAAATCGACTTTGAGAAGCAGCCTCGAGCTCAGCGAGTCTCCGACCGCACCCGAGCAGATCAACGTCGAGCTGGACGAAGCAATTTCGGAAATCTCAAGGACGCTGCTCAGACACATGCGGGAAGATACACGAAGCTCGGCTTCAAGTCGATCCAGGACCGCATGGAGAAGGACCCATTTTATTTGTTCAACAATGCGGTCGGCCAGATCACTCCCGACTGTTGCCAATTTTTGGAGGACTTGGCAAAATGCATTGCCCCTGATGTCGGCCGTACCCGAGAGAAGCGAGAAAAGCAGCTGGGAACAGGTGTCAGCACTCGTTTGATTTTTATGCCAGACTTCAACAGAGACATCCGACTCCCGTTGGACGTTACAAAGGAAGCCATGGTTGCACATCATGCACGAGTTTTTACACTCCCACAATTTGCTGTTCTTGCTGCGGACTTGCTGAAAGCGAGGGGGGAACCCACGCCGATGTTATTTGTTTGGTCTGGCTCAATGATGCCTGTGGATCAAGGGTCAGCCCAAGATTGTTTCTTCGACCTCGTCGATTTCGCGAAGAGGCAGTGGAAGGAACAATACAATAACATCAAGGGTGAAGAACACTCCTTCGTGGATGAAGCCACTGCATCAGATGTGGCTGATTTTCCATTGGCAAGGTCCTCCAAGACGGGTACTGGCGAAGGGCGAGAAGGATACCGGCGTCATTTTGACCCGATTCAGAAGCCAGCCAAGGGCAAAGGCAAGGGCTATGGTCAACAACAGCGACCAATCTTTCAGCAGGCCATTGAATGCTGGAAGTGCGGTCAGTATGGCCACAAATCTTTTGAGTGCCGCAGTGGATGGAACCGAGGGCAACAGTGGGGTTCGTATGGATCTTACTCAAGCCGCTCGGGAGGGCAGGCCCAATGGCAAAGCTGGAATTGGAATCAGGGCTACTCTGGCCGAGGTTGGACCGCTGATCCTTGGGGAAGATCTTCAGCATCAAGCTCCTCGGCAGCTCCTCCGGAACCAGTGCGGCCACCATCAACGGCGACGCCTATGCCTGACACAACACCAGCTGCTGGCGATTCTGCCCAAGCTGCCTCTGGATCAGCTACCGCAGCAGAGCCTCCACGACAAGTGCCTCGTGCACCAGTTGTGATTGCCGAGGAGTACTGCGAGATCAACGGCCAGCCGCACTACAAGCGCACCTACAATGATGGGACGGTAGAGTTTGAATCTTGGTAGATGTTTCACATCTTATGCCATGATTTTATGCCTACCGGAAGGTTTGGCCGATTGGATGAAAGCTGACCCATGGTCATTCAGTTCAATCGAATTGCACACATTTCCAAAACTTTAAATTCTAACTTGATTGGCTTGAAACTTTTCACAATTGATTCAAAAGATTTCGACACCAGCATCCGATCCATGTAGCTTGCGTGTATATAGCCGTGTACATAGGCCTGATACAGTAGCTTTCAAGTTTCCAAGGCAGTGTAAGGAGTGGTAATGCTCCTATGCCTTGGCGGAAGCCAGGCAAATGTCGCTTTTGCTATTTCCAAGCACATGCAATGCCCAGGATCTCCAAAACATCCGATTATGCCTTTTTGCCTCATGCACCCGTTGAGTTGAGACCGATTTCTTTTGACGATATAATTCTGCAGTGATGTCCATGTAGCTCCGTTGCTCTCAGGTCACTTCTGGCGACCGAGCTAGGCCTTCCGTCCTCCGTTAAAACTACGGGGCGGCGGGGGGTGTTTTTCATAGGTCTCACTGCTTATACTCGTCATGTATGGCTCAAGAAACAAGCGTGTACATGCTGACTGTTTGTGGCTTGTTAATCTGTCAAACAGCTTTTAATGCTGGTTGGTGGTTTGGAACATGGATTTTTATGACTTTCCATATATTGGGAACAAGAATCCCATTTGACGAACTCCATCAGTTTTCAGAGGGGTTGCTCAACCTTTGGCCATCCAACCTTGAGCGAATCTTGAGGTCATTTCCCTGTGTCGGACATGGGGATGATGTCCGAAGCCTTACAAGCGTTTCTGTACACAACGAGCAGCAAAGACTTGGGTTCCAAAGCTGCAAATTTGCAACGGCATGCGCAGGAACAATTTGGCAGGTATCATAAAAATGCCGCTTTTGGGGGTGGTTATTGGTTTTTCAAGTGTTTCTTCCCTACTTCGTGTTACTGGCTGATGTCATGGAATTTCCCATGTATTTTTGCATTTTCCCCAGCTTCATGGTCTCAGGTTACCGGCGCGACGTATTGACGACAGGGGAGACCTTTGACGGCGAGTTAATCTTCACAAGACTCAGAATGAAGGCGGCGCTCTGACGATGGATGGGTGTTGATGGTATTTGGTTGTCCCAAGATGTCCCAAGATGTCTCAAGATGTCTCAAGCAATAGATTCAATACTGGGATTTGGGGGGTTTAAGTGATTTAGTCTGCAAAGTTTGGAGTTGATTTTTCGGTACATGTGGTTGATTGGGGTTAAACCTTTAGGACATGTATGGACATGTGATTTTCACCCGCAACCATTCGCGGGATTCTTCAGCACTTCTTTTTTTTCAGAGAAGTGTCCTGACTGTTCATATTGCGTGTTGCCGCAACATTTCTCTTGGGGAGAGTTAGGAATGCATCATGAATATCTTTGAATAACTTGGCGATTGGAAGGTTAATATGGCCATCAATGCGGAGAAGTCTGAGAGACGAGACCTTCGAGAAAGACGGGAGGCACCTTCGGTGCATTTCATGACACACTGAATGACTTCGAATGATGCAGTTTTTGATGCACATTTTGATCTGGTTGGTGGTTTCAAACATGTTTTATTTTCCATAGTATATGGGATAGTCCTTCCCATTGACTAATATTTTTCAAGATGGTTAAGTCACCACCAACCAGTGATGTCAGTGATGTACTCATTTTCAGAGGCTGTTGAGCTCGATAAGTGGCTCCAAGTTCTTCAGATTTCATGATCCCAGGACTATGTGAGACAGCTGAATGCCAGAGCACCTCGTGAAACAGGACGAGTTAAGCCGAGGTATGGGTGTCTTGTTATGGCCTGTAACTGCAGCTTTCATTTTGAGAGCCATAACATGCCATAAACGTCGCTTCTCAAGAAAGGAGATGCTTTCATTGTACCTAAGATCTACATGTTTTTTTTTTCAGAGCAGATCAAACTGTCAGCTAAAACGCTGAGATGTCAGCGGATCGTCAAATCAAAAAAAACACCCAAAAAAATCAGAATCTCAAGACATTTACATCTCCAGCAGGACGGACGGGCTATGATGGTTTCAAAGACCTGGACAAGTATGGAATTGGAAGACAGGGTCTTCTCCAGTACCATTGCAGCTTTCAGTCTATCCATTTTGACGTCCCTGGTGGCTGTGTCGCTGTTCACGCGGAATGTTCTGCTGGCCTTCTATGTTTGCTGTACCATCCTGTTGGTGGTTTGCGTTTTATCCGGATGTTTGCTGATCCTTAGCAAAATGAACTCAGTGAGCTGAGTGGGTTGGGGGTTCTGTTAACCTATGTTAACCTATGTTAACCTGCTAACCGTGTTAATGATGGTTTGAGCACCTCGAAAATAGAATGATTTCACCCGTGGAGTTATATGACAACATGCTTGACATCGGCAAGATTTCGGGGTTGGCTCAAGCCTCATTCGTTGGAGCCAAGGAACTTCCTTCAGTATGACTTTGGGGTTGCCGAAGCCATTGGCGCCACCGTCTTCGTAGGGCTCAGCGCTTTTCGGTTCAATGGTCGTTGGAGCGAAATCGATAAACACGTGAGACTTTGACAAACAAGGGCAGGGGTTCAGATCTAATGTTGACCTGTGATTAATACTATTAATATATTAATTACGTAATATTAGTACACCCCCCCGAAAGTCATTGAATGGACCTCTTCTATCGTAGACTACTTCGTTTGATAAGGGAAGTTTTCCAATCGGAGGTCAACTTGATGCCTTGGGAAGCTTGGCAGGGTTGCGGCTTCAGGTCGACTACTGCCTTCATCTGGCCCATGGAAGCTTGGCAAAAATGAAGGCCCCGCAGTTGAGGCTAGGACGGCTAGGAAGATTGGCCTCAAATTCCGGTTCTTGTCAAGGCATGTGAGGCGAAGGAGACAACCCCAGTTCTCAAAACAGTTCAGATATGAAAAAGATTGTACATGTTGATGGTGACAGTAGTTTTCTTGCTGCAAAATTTCCATGATTTGGACGAAGGTTACTATCATGCTGATGGCCAACGGAGAGGTGACAAATTGCAGCATGCGTTGCCAGGATCAAGATGATCAAGTCATCGTTGTATTTGTGGCTTGAGTTTGGGATTTTTATGGATCCCATACCCTCTGGTAAACTAACATAACTATAGAAAATCACCATTTTTAATGGGAAAATCCACTATAAATGACCATTTTCAATAGCTTTTTGTATGTTTACCAGAGGGTACAGCTTTCAATGGTGGATTTTTATGGATCCCATAGGGTGCCATTTTTTTGACCATGGACGCTGGCCCATCTCACGGCATTGGCTCCAAGACTCCAAGCCATGCCTAAGGCTCATCGTTCTGACTCCATCCATCTTAGGAGGAGCGACCCGGGATGTCCCTGCTACTACAACCAGATTTTTTCGGAGATTACTAAGCTTGCCCCATACAGATTTGTGTCGATCTGAATCAATCTTTAGGTATTATGTTTGTTGGTTGCATTGTTTTGCATTTGGATCCCATGCGGTGCGATGTAAAGAGATCCAGCTTGGTCTCGGCTTTTCTCTCGTCCCGCTTGTCTCCCTGGCTTGTCCCCCACTTCCATATGCTCCATTCCGTTTCTATTTCTTTAATAAGAGGATTCATGTTCATCCGATTTTAAATCCACTGGGTTTCTCCGGTGTATCCATACTGTGCAATGGGACAGTCGCCTGTTGAAAAAAGTACTGGCCATTTGCTTGACACTCACACAGTTCGTGCGTTGGGGCAACATGTTAATTATACTGCACAAGTGCTGCACAAGCTCTTGTAAATTGTCAAAGCTTTACTGTTTCAGGTTGATGCTGCTTAATGTTGTTCTCTCCTTGAACTGTTGATGTTGATTCTGCAGTTCGTCATCGTCGTGACCATTTGCGTGACATTGACTTAAATCCTGACAGGAGCCATCACAACCATAGCGGCCTGTGCCTTTTTGTTGCCCTGTCGGATGATTCTCTTTCGCATCTTGGTACGTCGTCAGGGGAATGGGATGGCACCAAAATTGGTGGCACCAAAATTGCTGGGATCCATGGGGGGATGGGCATAGCATGGGCATAGCATGGTGAGGCAAACTTGGTTGGACATTGATGCTCAATGCCGCGATCTCCATCATCTACACCTTCAGCTTTTTGGCACCTCTTCTTTTGATTGCTCCTTGGTGACTGACTGACCACGGTGGACTTTTTTCGGATGAATTCGAAGTAGCTGGAGTCAGCTGGAGGTGATGGTGAATTTGTCCAAAGTTTTTTCGTCTCATCCACAGGACACGTGCGCAATGTCTCAAATATGTCTCAAATCTGTCAAATCCTTCAACCTGTTAGACCCTTTGTTATTTGAAGGTCATACTCCCAACGATTTCCCGTTAGACCTGGGATTTCCGCCTGAGGCAGGTCCCATGGGCACGTGCTGCGCAACCGGTCGTGACAGCAGGTCTGTTGTGCCAGAGGTTTTCTGGCTGGAAATGGATGGAAAGTTGGGAGTTGTGCCCAATGTGCCCAAAATAAACTGAATATAGCCGATGTATATAGTAAACATGATTAAACTTGTTAAACTCTTGATGTTCAAGCAAACCATAGTGTTGGTCAGTGGCTCTATTGCTAAACCATGCACAATTGCGGCGGAGTCATTGTTTTCATCTTGGTTCTGCGAACCTGTCAACCGATGTTTCACTTCACGTCATTTCTGCCTCAGAAAAGTATCTATAGCTAGCTGCAGCTAGCTGTTGCCTCCAAATAGGCTTTCAGGATGTTTCAGGATGTTTCGGAGTTTCTTCCCTCCCATGCTTGCTCTGACTTCCCAAAATCTCAGACTGAGGAAGTGTCAACCACGCTCCTTGGACTGAGCTTTAAGAAATGCGATGTATGTGTCAGCAAATGTCAAAGTCCCGCAGTTCCCGCAGTCAGTTGATAAAATGTTAGAAGTGAAGTCCAGTGACGCAGTCGGGATTTGGATGAACAGTTTTGCAATGTTGGGCAATACAGGCAATACCCCATTGTTTTGCTGAAAAACCTGATTTCTCCCAACTCCTACAAGTCCAGCGCTTGGAGGCAAAACATGGAGCATCAGAACACTTTTGGGATTCCTTCAACAGTGTTGAATACACTTCTAGATTTCAACATATTTCAACCAAATACTGTAACATCTGTAACTCTTTAGGTTCCAGACTTCCACAAAATCTTAAATATTCCTATCCCACATGTTTGGCTCAGGGCTTTAAATTTGCAGGCCTTCACCAGCCTGGCTCTGGACCAAGGACAGGAGATGTGTCAGACAACTGGGTCCATCCATTGCGTCGTGAAGATAAAGCACCCGAACCTCCCCTTGCACCATGGCACGCAAAGAATTTCAGAAACAAACATTGGCTAAGTCATAGCAAGTTGAACCTCAGATGAAGATTGAATGTCCAAAACTGACCCAGTGGGAAATTGGCAATTCTCAGGTGGTCGAATCAGCCTCTGAAAATTGAGCCGGTCAGAAAACCGGTGCATGTTGATTCTGCTGAGAAAATTTAGCTGTGAGTTGCTGGGTCTATGGCAGGCTTTGACCCACAGCCACCAAAAAACGCTTGACTTTTTAGATTGCAGCAACCAGCCTTTTTCGGGTGGTCATTTTCGGGAAAAAACAGGTTCTTTGACTTTGCCAAAGGCAAAGACCTGGAACCGACCTTAGTTTTGAAGCGATCCTCTGAGAATTCGAGAGAACTTTGTTTTGTCTATGGAAATGCAACTGATAACAGTTACAGCCATGGTTGAAGCTTTGTTTTCTTGGTGCATTTGATGGCAAAGCCATATCTCTTAACATGTTTCATCAATATTTGTTTTTTATGGTTTTCAGAGGCGCTGCAAATCGTGACCCTCCCGAAGTCTGCAGATCCTGGAAAATTCCGGGGTCGTTCCGTGCTGGTTGGCTAAAACATGAAGGCGCTGGGGAGTCAATTTGAGACTCCCCAACTTTGAACATTTTGCAACTGTGGTTCTTTGATGTCCTTTGTAAAATTTACCCTCTGGTAAACATACAAAAAACTATGGAACATCACCATGCTATTAATGGGAAAAGCAACTATAAATGGCAATTTTCAATAGCTATTTTGACATAACCAGAGGGTACTGTCATCTTTTGCTACCATTAATGGAGTTCATCAGATCTACTGCAAGGGACGGGTTTTGAGATTTTCGCAGTTCCAACACGAGAATTTGCATTGCACTTGTTCTTTTTTGTCCGTGTCTCTGGCTTAAGTTGAGCTGTGCCAGGCAGTCCTTGAGAAACTATGAGAAACTTGTCACGCTCTTTTTGCATGTAGTCTTGCAAAGAAGGGTTGAAAAAACTGGTTTGCAAGTTGTTAACATTTCAACTCTACAAGGAAGCTTTTGCCAAATCCAACCTGAGTAACAACATTTCCAGCTTCACAGAGTGTTTAATGATGTTTAATGTCAAATTCTTCTTCACACGCAATTCCACGTCTATCGACTCGACAGCATGGTGAAGGTGCCCCGATTTGGGCCTCCGCCCAACAAGGAGAAACCTGCACCGTATTTCCCGGGGGTTGGCCACTCAGTGGAGTTTGGATCAGTGGGAAATGGTTTTTCTCACCTTTTTTGGTGTTTGGGTCGGCAAGTCGCCACCGCAAATGGTAAGTTCCTTAGTGGATCACGGCCAAGATGTATGGATCACCACCGTGAAATGCCTGCCCAAATTTGCACCTATTTACGAAGCGATGGAAGCCGTTTCTTACGAGTTTTATTAATAAGTTAAGTCTCAAATCCCATGGCAATTGACAGAGTTGAGCAAAAAGTGCCATGAGGTCTCAGCGACGGCATTTGATCCAGCAAGTGCCTTGCAGGTGCCGTGATTCGGCATCCAAAGTCAGGTGATGGATGTTATGGGCGAAGAGGAAAATCAATGCCTTGAGAGATCCAAATTTTGTTTGAGAAACACTGATTTGAGGGATCTGAGAAAGAAAATTTGGATCTGAGATCTGAGAAACAAAACTTGAGGGATTTGAGATCTGAGAAACTGTTTGCAACTGTTTGAAGAAGTTGACACATGTTGACACTGAAAGAAACACTGAAAGAACGGTTGGATTGAAGTGGAAGCCCATGCTACCGTAGGCCTATACTGATGTGATGAGAACGGAAAAGGCCTGGCGCAGAAGAATCAACCAACTAGAGCCAGTTTTTTCTTCAGCTACTGAATGGCTGAGCTTTGCCTTCTTGAACCTTTGGGAGGGAATGGCAGGGGAAAGCAATCACATTCCTATTGGGTCTGTTGAGTGCCAGTATCAAAAATACCTAAATGGATGTTTCAAGCATTTTCAAGCTGGTGCAGGTCCAAATGATTGTGTTTCTCAGTGACATTCAGTGACTTTTTTGATGAGGAAAACATCGCCAAGGGCTTGTTGATGTACGACAAACTTGATTTGGCGCCTTGGCGAAGTATCGAAGTCTCCCTGGACATCGAGAGTTGGACTTTCTACAGCTTTTGGCTGTGGTGACATGTCGGATTTTCTGGCTAGGCCAAGCAGAAATTCCGAGAAGGGAATGCCGATCCAGCTGTTGGGAATCCCAGTTGCGTGGCTGCCTTAATCATCCCTGCTTGATGAGTTTCGTGATAGCAAATCTAACCAATTTGGTTATGGGGATCATCAACAATCTGACGGGAATCCCGTTCTCAACCACCAAACAACACGGGGTTTCGATGGGTTTAGCAGCCACTGCTCACTGCTCTGCTTCCAGACGATCCTGGCAGGTCGCAATTCCAAAGAAGCTTTCAGACATGTTGCCAGGCCACATGGTTTGCGACGGTTTCAGGACGGTAACATGGACCAACATGGACCAACATTTACCATGAAAAATGGTCGATGTTGGGAGGAAACCGATATGAAACCGATATGTTTGGAGAGTACAACTGTAATATGACATATAAGCATGTAGAAGCCATGGGGATATGATGTCATTTTAATATCACATCATACCACCTTTATAGTTTCATATACGTTCCCATCACTTATCATATCCCATCTTAAGTTATAATATTGTCATTTCATGTTAATTGATGTCATACTCCATTCCTACATATCAGCCGTCTGTCGCGTGAGGCTATGGCTCTTTGGCAGAGTTTTGCCATCATTTAGGCATGATGTGGGCATGATTTGGTCATGCGATCTGAAAAACTCATGGGTTTTGTATGATTTTGATTTTGCAGGGATTGCCAAGTGATTTCGCAGATGTTTTCTCATTTCTAGAAAACACATGATGAACTCATCGATGCTGCTGTCTTCATCAGTCTGAGATTTTGGAAGAGACTTGGGTTAGTTATTGTTGTCTTCATCAGGCTACTTGCGCGATCCAATCTCCGGCCGTGTGGATCTTGGCATGTATCCCTGTGTTTTCTACCTTTTGATATAGATAACACGATGCTTCATGACCCATAGGATCCATGGTGCTGCTATATATGGTAACATGGATCCCATCAATATACCCCAAATGTTAGCATATATACCATACATGGATCCTATGGGTGATGGCTCATTTGGTCCCATTGTTTGCGGAGATCGGAGAAGTTGTTAAGTCGATCCGGGGCAGCTCGTTTCTTTGGCAGTTGCTGCTGTCAAGTTGTTGTGCATCTCCAGGTTTTATTCCTGATGAGTCATGTGGTGAGCTCAAAAGTCAGATGCCGACGAAATTTCTGGGGTACTTACCCAACTGGCCTTTTTTCATCTTTTTTCCGGCTTCTGCAACCAGGGTAGTTGCCTCTATGTTAACTTATTTAATAACTTGGTATAACTGGATGTATATAATTGATAGTCTGACATCTTCATTTGGTTTTCAGACCATTTTCCATGTGCTCCTGTGGTTTTTCATGGTTTCCCATGTCTTTTACGAGGTAGCCTGGAGGAAAAGGAGCGGACGTGCCTGTCTGCTGCGTTCGGCTGCTGAGATGGGTGAACAAAGTGAACAAAGGGCTGGTCATCTTGACCATCTTGGCCATCTTGACCTCACTAATCCATGGTCTAGCGGGAGATTGACACATTGGGACTAGGTGACTATGGGGATGTTTATTTTTCGAGGCTGGGATTGTCGATGGAAAAAGTCCAGCCATTTTCGGGAATGGTGTGAATCACATTTTGACCCACATGATATCATTCAGCAAACCGGACCACTAACGACTTGGCATATGTCGCCTTGTCTTAGCACAATGAAATCACCCACAGTCCATTTTTTTTTCAGTGTTCTTCGTTTTCAACCTAGTGCAAAGTTGTTCAACCTATGTTCAAATAGATTCAAATAGTGTTTATCTATGTTTATCTATGTTTATCTTCTATTCCTATTTGAGATCATGGTCACCAGCAGATTTCCAGCTGACCTGCACCGAGTCCACCCTTGGCCAAGAATCGATCTTCACCATCTGTGGCCCCTCGGAAAATGGGGGGATTTGGCTCCGAAATGTGGCCATTTCAAGGGGAAGATGATGATATATTGATGATAAAAGCAGGACTTGGGGAGAATCCTATGACAATTGGAGATTCCAAACGGTGTTTTTTTGTGGCGGTTTCAAGGTTCAGCTTGAGCTGTCGGGTTTGGATCTGTTTGAAGCCGGAACTTAGGTATCACGAGGCCACGAGCCATTTGTTCAGGCCATGCCAATAACAACCAAATTTTGTTGCCAATTTTGCTGGGTGCCCCATAAAATGGGACCAATTTTCAATGACTTCAATGTTTCAGGGTTGAAAAGATCCACCACAATCAGGGCTTCCTGATGCCATCGCCATGTGGTCAGGCTCTACAACGAGAGCTGAAACCGTTGCCAACCAGACCCGCCAGAGTCCGAAGATCCACATCGAGCTCATCGGGCATATCTTTATCAGGTTGGACGCCGGCAGTGTAAAACTCTGTGCTTTTTCAAAATGGAAAATGTACCTAGTAATGCAATTGTGTCTCATGGATTTTTCTCTCCAAATCAATCTTCAACCGAAGGAAAGTCAATATAAAGAGTCAATGTAAAGAGTTATATGTTTCATTGATGTTTTGGGTACTCCATCATAATCCAAGAAAAGAATTTGGGTTATAAGTTATAAGTTCGAACATGTTGAAACAACTCAATCATCGCACAACACGTGAGGCCAAGATCGATTTCATCGCACTTTGGAGAAGTTGCAGTCTAGAACTTGGAAGGGCTCCTTGAAACGGGCAAAGGAAGGCCTCAAGCAAAGGAGTTGCGATGGTTGTTTATAGTAACATATTGATACATATTGTAACTATGATTTTTAAAGTTAGATAAAGTTAGATACATATTGTAACCAGGTTAGATATTAAGATATATTAAGATTGTTATTGTCAACCCTGGATTTTTGGTCCCGGCAACGTGTAACCGCATGGCAAACTCGCACCGTTTTTTGCGCGCGGGACCAAACAATTTTTTTTCCGAGGCTCTGGGAAGCTCGCGAAGTCCCCAAGCCTTCCCCTCAGGGGGCGACCCAGACCCATCCATACCCATCCCAATTTCAATTGGGAGGACAGCGACTTGACATTTGGTGTTTTTATGTGTTGATAATAAACCTACCATTTATTAAAAGTGTGAAAAATAGAAAAATCCGAATCCATTTGTGGATGGTCCTCGTATTACCACCCATGACTGTGAATGGGAATGAATTGGGTTTCGTGACATTGGGTGAATCCCCATGAAAGTGGATGGCCGAGGTTGGGCCAGAGCCGGGCTCGAAAGGTTGCCTGGCGATAAAAAGATGACCAATGACCCAATGAACGGTTGCTAGCTCTGACATTTTCTGGCTGAATATCCCAATCGAATCTATTTCTATTCTTAAGGCGGGGGCAGCCAAGCAGAAAATCATTGTTTCTAGTTGATCTGGCACTTTTTCAGCCACGCGATTCACTGGTAGATCCATCATTGTTCCAAAGGGAACACCGCCACGCCGCCATGTCCTGGTGGAGCGATATAGCTCATAGCCCTGGATCCCCAAACAGAAACAACTCCTGGATTTGGTGATTCAGGAAATTCTGGTGTAGTTTGGTGATCCCCCAAAAAAAAACCCAAGGGATCCCAAAGGGCTTGAATGGTTTCCTGCAAAATTCCTGAGTTCCTATTGTTCTTTATGCCAATCTGTTTGAGGATTCCGGTATTTCAGCTGTCACTCAAGGTGACGGCCCTCCAAAATCCCGTCAAACCCCGAAGAGATTTTCCCCTGGGCGCCGGCAGAACGCCGCGCAGTCTCCAGGATCAGTCGGGAATGAAAGACTAGCGACAATGATTAGGAAGGAATGATGACATGTTGTGGATGGTTCTGTCTCCGGATCTTAGTGACTCTTAGATGTGTTAGTGACTTTTAGTGACCATCAAAAAATCGTCCAATGATCAGAAAGTGGTCGCAATTTTCCTGGAGTCAGGCTGGTGGCTTTGAGACAGATCAGACAGATTCAGCTTCCGACATCGTTCTGTTCGCGGATGAAGAAAAAGATGACCGGAGCGTCATATGATGGGTGCAGAATCAATAGTAGGGAACCATGTTGTTGATCTCATGTGAAGAAAACTTGAGATGATCCGGATGTTCCCAGTTCATCAAGTTCCCAGTCGCACATGTTGGAAACTCTTTGATGGAAGACTGGCATCCTACCATCACCAGCTCCAGGCCATGTGGGCTCCATCCTGGGGTAGATTGTACTGCTGCCTATTTTGTGTTCCGGATTTTGTGTTTCATGAAATCGACCATGGGTAGCGATGTCCATCATTGCTATTTGTTGTCCATAGATACACTCAGGTGTTGTTGGTTTTGAGCGATATTTAAAATTTATCCATGACTGGTGGATGCACCATGATCTGGGGTTGTTTGCACTAGGGTAATAACCCCAAAATCCCATGTGTTATTCCCCACATCTTTGTGTGGGGTTCTTGTTTTTGGTTCTGCATCCCGTCCGCCTCCTCCTCCTCCTCCCGCCGCCTCCCGTCCCAGCCCAACTTGTCAACACACAACTTGTCCTCACACAACTTGACATCGACGCTCACTCACACATAACTTGTCATCATACAACTTGCTCACACACAACTTGTCAGCGTGGCAGGCGTGGCACTTGGTGACATGGACCTTCACTTTGCGTGACTCACATACAACTTGCTCACACACAACATGTCCACACACAGGCGTGGCACTTGGTGACATGGACCTTCACTTTGCGTGACTCACATACAACTTGCTCACACACAACTTGTCCACACACAACTTACTCACACACAACTTGTCCTCACACAACTTGACATCGACGTTCACTTTGCGTGGCAGGCATGGCACTTGGTGACATCTTTGCGTGGCAGGCGTGGCACTTACGGCACTGGGCCGGCTCTGGTGACGCGCCGGGTTCCCAAATGCCGCTGGCACTTGGTGACATCGACTGTCACTTTGCGTGGCAGGCGTGGCACTTGGCGACATGGACCTTCACTTTGCGTGGCAGGCGTGGCGCTTGGCGACATGTATCTTCACTTAGTGACATCGACGCTCACTTTGAGTGGCAGGCGTGGCACTTACGGCACTGGGTGGTGACGCGCCGGGTTCCCAAATGACGCCGTGGCCGCCGCGGCTCTTTGCGTGGCAGGCGTGGCACTTGGTGACATCGACTGTCACTTTGCGTGGCAGGCGTGGCACTTGGCGACATGTATCTTCACTTGGTGACATCGAGTGTCACTTTGCGTGGGAGGCGTGGCACTTGGAGATATCCACCTTCGTTTCACGTGGCCTGCGTGGTACTTGGTGACACCAACTGGGCATGTACCTCTGCTGCATCACTTGCACTTTTGCGTACACTGTGACATGTTTGTGTTGGATGAGATTGTCGTACCTGCGTCATCTGTAGCCATTTGACACCATATATATATATGCATCCATACATCCATCCATCCATCCATCCTTCCATCCATCCATCCATCCATCCATACATGCATACATACATACATGCATACAACACAACTTGTCCATACACAACTTACTCGTACTTACTCTTCCACACACAACTTGCTCCACACCAATCCTTCACCATCTCTTTTCCCTTTCCTGCTTTCCCCATGCCATCTTTACCTTTCTTTTGCTGCTTGTTGCATGGAAGAAATTGACATTACTGATAGGGCCTAGTGGCCCTGGATATTTTTTGGACCAGACTCCCCGAATCTTATCCAGGGACCCCAAGCGGGGATCTGAAATGCTCTAAAGGTCCAGGGTTCCCGCAACAACTGAGCGTCCGCAGGCCTTACGGGCAGACCTTCCACGGTTGGCAGGCACCCCCTGCCACAGTCCAGCGCACCTCCACCAACACCAGCTGACGGTTTCAACTCCGCAGCTGAAGGCAGCTACCTGCATCCGGCAGGAGCAGGCGGCTGCAGTTTTGTGGCAGAGCGAGGACCCTGCGTGGGAGGACGTTGTCTTCGTCCCAAGAGAATGGGGGGGGGCGAGACCCCGTTTAACAAAAATAAACCATCAAGCAAATCCGAAAATAAAATGGGGTCAGTCCCCAGCATTTTATTTTGTTGGTGCATTTTGTTTTTTGAAGAGCCCAACGCATCAAGTAACTGACAGAGGTAGCAGGATAGCAAAGATGCACAGCTGCGAACGATTTGATCATGCTGTGAAACCTTTCAGGTAATTTAGCATATGAAACTGAAATAGCAGTTCTTGTCGATCCATTTTGATTCTAGCAGGAGGCATGCGGTGAAAAATAAATGTGAAACACAATGAGAAATAAAGACGAAATGATCGCGAGCAAGAAGGATAAAAATCACCCGAAAAAATTAGTGTAAAACAAAACTCTAGAGATGAATTAAGGTCTGATACAGTCATGCTCATGCATATCATACTGTACAAATGTCGGTCAACGATCAAAGGAAGTATAAAAGGCAATATAACGAAAGAAGTTGCCGGGGCCTGACGCCCAACAGTCGCCAGGTGGAGGGGGCCTGACGTCATATTCTTTTCTTGGGTTATCTTATCTTACCTTATGCCCTCTCATTTTATTGATTTTATTGGCATTTTGTCCTTGGGCCCCTGCATTTTATTCTCTCCCGAATGCGTAGCAAGGGTTCCCGTTTCACTCCGGGGGTCTGGGGACTGAGGGTGTGTTCGCTCGACGTTGCAGAAACGAATTCCCAGCCGTCAACAATCGTTCGCAACCGTCCGCGTGAGGGCCACATGCCTATGGTAAGTTCTGCAGAAGGGATCGCTTTTGGAGGTTTCAAACTTCTCGTTGCTTCGTTTCGCGCGGCACAGGTGTGGCACTTCGTGACGTTCAGACGTTTTTTGTAACACGTCCAAAGTCGTTCTGCGTGGCAAGCGCAATACTTTTGCGACGTTTTCAGAAGATGCGTTGCAGTTTTCGTGGCAGGCGCAACACTTTGGACGTGTACATCGTCATTTTGCATGGCAGGCGCGGCACTTTAGACGTGTTGTGTCGCGTGTTTTTGCGAACCGCATTGTCAGGGCTGCGTCAAGCGGCGACAAAGTGCAGATTCCGTGGCAGGCGTGGCATTTTGTGAGATGTGATGAAAATTGACGGAAGCCTCGCGCAATTTTGAGGTTACAAATTTTCAGAGGAAAACATCGGTTTTGAGGCAACGAAGTGTCAAAATTGGATGAAGTCTCGCACGAAATGCTCGATTTGCTGCTCCTATGTGTCTCGTCTTCGGTCTCTGGTTTTCCTGTGGCCTCGCCGTGTCTAACTGGGGGAAGCTGCAAAACATGTCCTTTTCGAAGGTTTCCAAGCAGGTTGTCATGTCGTTTTGCGTGGCAGGCGTCGCACTTTGTGACATTCCAACCGGTTTTATACCGTGTCGAAAGTGTCAAAATTAGCAGAAGTCTCGCGCGAAATGCTCGTTTTGCTGCGCCTACGTGTCTCGTCTTCGGTCTCTGGTTTTCCTGTCACCTCGCCGTGTCTATCAAAAAAAAGCTGCAAACCACACTCTACACTTCAGACTCCCCACTCCACACTCTACACTTTGCGCTCCACATTCCACACTCCACACTGCACACTCCACACTTTACACTCTACACTTTGCACCCTACACTTTACACTCCACCCTCTACACTTTACACTTCACACTTTACACTCCACACTTTACACGCCACACCTTACACTCCACACTTTACACTCCTCAGTCCACACTCTACATTTTACGCTCCGCACTACACTTTACACTAACATTCATTATTATTTTGATGCCAAGGGTGAAAAAATCACCTATGTACTCCCGAATCAATTGCCTAATTGAAAACGATTACATAAGGAAACTTTCCAAAAAAAATCATCTATGTACATCCGAATGAATTGCCTAATTGAAAACGAATACATAAGGGAACTTTCCAAAAAAAAAATCATCTATGTACATCCGAATGAATTGCCTAATTGAAAACGAATACATAAAGGGAACTTTCCAAAAAGAAAAATCATCTATGTACATCCGAATGAATTGCCTAATTGAAAACGAATACATAAAGGGAACTTTCCGAAAAAAAATCATCTATGTACATCCGAATGAATTGCCTAATTGAAAACGAATACATAAAGGGAACTTTCCAAAAAAAATCATCTATGTACATCCGAATGAATTGCCTAATTGAAAACGATTACATAAGGGAACTTTCCAAAAAGAAAAATCATCTATGTACATCCGAATGAATTGCCTAATTGAAAACGAATACATAAAGGGCACTTTCCAAAAAAAAATCATCTATGTACATCCGAATGAATTGCCTAATTGAAAACGAATACATAAAGGGAACTTTCCAAAAAAAATCATCTATGTACAT